TTTTGTCTGCTAGTCTGAAGAGCCCATTATTAAATATTTGTTCCCTGTGTACGGTCTTACAGGTTATCTTCAAATCATCCCTTCAATTTCTCTTTGTTAAGCTAAATAGATTGAGCAATTCGGAGTTTATCATTATAAGGGCATTTTTTTCTGATCATATAATCATTCTCATGGCTCTTCTCTGAACCCTATCTAATTGATCAGCATCCTTCTTGAATTGGGGGAACAATGGCAAGACAGGGATTGAAGTTATTCTGTCTGTATCTTAGCTACGGTTCTGTGTTTTATCTTTGGCTGACTGCTGCACTTGTTGTATTGAAACTGAAGCTTAAATAGAATTGATCTGTTTGCACTGGCAATCATTTGTGAGGACGTGGCCTGAGTTGCTTTTTGTTTTATTAATGTGAAAATGTGCGTGCTTTATGTGTGTGCAGCAAGTGGCAGGATGGCCGCTTGAACTGAAGGCATGGTTAGATCACTGGTCAGTTCTCTCTTGGCTAAGCAGAAGGAAAGCCTGCTGGTTCAACTGATTTCTTTTTGAAGAGGGCTGCACTGTGAATAATGGAGTACACAATGGCTAATCAGGCTCTGATAGTCCATCCTTAATTGGTGGCAACACAACACCTAGACTGCACCTCCTCGCCCCCCCATGCATTTAGTGCACATCAATTCCCAGTCTCTCACAGCTCTGTAGAAGTACTCTATTCTGCAGAAAGCTGCAAGGTGTAAACAGCAAGGCAGGAGAGGAATTGTTTAGGATGTGACCACAAGGGAAGAGGGTATTTACATTGGGAAAAATTACTTGAAAAATGAGGGGAACATTCCAAAGGGCAAGATCTCTTAGGTTGCGGAATACTCCACTCGCCACTTTCAACCTATTCAGGCTTTTCTAGTCCCAGCTCATCAGCCAGCATTCTGAGGACAGTTTTTCTTTTCTTTTTCTTTTTCTTTTGGGGGGCGGGGGTGGAGGGAGGGTTGTGTGACTCTGCCTTTGACCCATTTGTTCCAGCGGGGGACCTGATACCGCCTCATCTGAATAGAGAGGATTGTTGTTTTTTAATTCCCTCTGGGCACTTAGCACAAGGTAAATCTTAACGCCAACATTATCTTTTAATAAAACCAGGTTCTTCAAGTTAAGGAACAGAGAAAAGTCAAAATGAATCCAAAGTGGGAAGTACATTGTAATTCTTCCCCAATCTAAGGTTTAGAGGAATAGGTCAGATCTTACGCTTACTACTGATTGTAGCCAAAATGCATCCAGAGGGCTAGATCCTCAGGTGGTGTAAATCAGTGTAGCTCCATGGATGTCAGCTGGTAGAAATCCAAGTGAAGCTTTGGTCCTTGGAGTTCATATGTGACCAGTCATTTCTGTTAGCATATTAGCCTGACCTTGAAGTCCGCAAGGAGTATTCTCTAGTAGTTTATGCCCTCTTGTTTGTCCTGCCTATGTCCCTTATGATGTTTACATCTGAACATCCTGTGCTACCATTTTAGGCATGAAGGGTTTGATTCTCCTCTCAGTTAGGGCCTGATCCAATGCCCATTGAGGTCTCACTAGGAGTGGAGTGACCTTTACTCTAGGATAGATCTGGGGCAACACCATTGAAGTCAATGACATCATTCCAATGTCGGTCTGTTTCTCCTCGTCCTTACCCTACTTTTAAAGTCATCATCCAGGCATTCGTGCTGGCACTAGGGATGTTGGGGGTGCTGTGACTTGAAATTATAATAATAAATCACATATATGGTTTCCAACTCCAACACCCCCCACTCTAATAATTGCTCCAGAAGCCTTTCATACAGGCAAGAACAGTCACCACACCACTAAGTAAGTTTATGACTCTGAGTTGCTTAATTCCACCTGACCTTTATTCCTGATATTTAACGAAGCAACGCATCCTCAGAGAAAGCTTTCCAAGTCCCTCTTAGATTAGCATGCAGCACTTCAAACGAATTCTTTGAAACTGAGTGTGTTTGGTAGCCGTACGCAATGCATACTAGACATGGGAATTCACTCATCTGCCATGGCTGGCTGCAGAGGTGTGTGTCTGTTTGGTTGCCAGTTATTAGAACTGATTGGAAAACTGAGGGGGGTGAGACATTCATACATTTTTGGCAGATTTTCTTCCTTCTTTATTTTCCTGATTGTGTTTTGTTTGGTCATTATCTGATTAGCTCTAATAAATTATGCTGTCTCGCTTTAAGAGCTGTTCCAGCTGTCCTTGCTGGAATATTTACATAATGACACAATTTAAACCCTCAAGAAACACTTCTAAAGTTATTAGTTACAAGCCCTTATTCATGTGCTGCAATACTCTAAACATGTACATGGCTAGGGCTACTTTTAGAGAGAAGTGATCTGAATCAGTACCATATGTTTTTCATAATTCCAATGTATATTTCACAATCAGGGGTTGGATTGCATCTCCCAAAGGAGGGTGTTGGAAGTCTTTTGTTCAAGACAGTCAAAACTAGAATGGATAATGTGCTGGAGAATATAACATAAGAAACAATCATGCAGTGATACAGGGATGGAGCTAATCGCTCTCTTCCAGTGTTTTGCCGAGATAATAGTACCATCCATCTGAGTTATTCTAATACAGTTGCCTTATCAGGGTGAGCTATTTTGCCTTTAGCATCTTAGTTTCTTCACTCAGAAGTCATATCATTGCTTTGTAAATCAATGTGACAACCATCTTGCCACCTAATTTCGGTGATACCATTTGCACCATGGTGCAAATGGTAAGTGTGTGCCAATTTTTCCATTATTATTATTCTTTTTAGGGCACATAGTGAAACTCAGTTGAAACTAGTCAGTCGTGATATTACTTTACAATACATTTTTTAAAATGTTGTACGTGATATTACTTGAGGGAGCATTTGAAAAAAAACAGTCACTTTACAAAGTATAAAAAACATCTATTTGAAATGGGTGATTTTATGTTTGCTTTAAAAAAATCCTAACATATCTTAGATTGTTTGTGTAACTCTTAATTTTTTTTCTACACAGCAGAAATGACATGAAATGGGATTAATGCATAACATTGCTTAATTATTTTTGATACGTATATAAATTAATCACTTTGGAAATGTTAAGGTTTAAAAGTTTTCCTGTGCATGATGTTACTTGTGAGACGCTGTCTGTTTTTGTTGACAATATCAGGCTCTTCTATGGGGCTTTTGATCATTAGATCTGTAAGGA